TATATATATATATATATATATATATATATATATATATATATATATATATATATATATGAGATGGAGAGTGCAGACATAGGGATCACTGCTTGGTGACTCAGTTGCACATTTCAATGTGAGCTTCAGACTAAGTTGAAGCATGAAACTGGCAGTCACTACACAGTTTTGATTCTGATGTCTGTAGACTCTATATCTATAAATGCTCTATCTTTGATATTGAAAACTCTTACCAAATAAATATAAGGATAAATCAGAAAGTAAAAGCCAATTTTTAAATTATGCAGTAAAAACAACAGGGAGGCAGGCTCTGACATGACACTATGCATGTCCATAGGATGATGGGTCGCTTGCTTCACACAGAATTCCATCAATTAGTCAAATGACATGGAAAAATGAGGTCAAACATGCACACTTCACTCAATGATTGCTCAAGTAACTTATCTGATTAGCCAATTCAAGAGTTTGACATCGAAGTGCTCATTGGGGACAGGGGTTAACCTAGAAGAAACATAAAATTATCATAATTTTCATGTATTTTGTCAGTTGTATGATCATATATATATATATATATACTAGCAGCATGGCCCGGTGTTGCCCGTGCTTGATTCAAAAATCATACGACTCATACAGCAATTGCTATCACTTGACTTAAAATATTTTTGCCCTTCCTTGCCTTTAAAGGAGTGCCCTTTGCCATGCTGATGTTGCTACATGCCTTACTTCTTGCCTATCTCACACTGTGGATTTTTTCTATGCTCTATACTAAACATTAAATCTGTTACAAAAAAAGAACTATACAAAATGAACACAAAACGATCAGCTTTAAAAAAGGACTCATAACTGGAAAAACCGAATGAAAAAAGAATGTTAACAACAAATACTTTTTCACACCCAACCCAGTTCTGTGGAATCAGAATCAACGTTGAGTTTAAGCAAGCGAATGAGCCAATTGGAGTAAAAAGTGCCATGCAGATTTAAATTTTTCTCACTTGTGACGAATGCAGCTATCGATTTTTTAGCATGCTAGTTAGCATTCATGTCAGTCAGCTGTTGGCTCTCACGCTGGCCAATAGAATCTTCCTGCCTATACGTGGCAGCCAGCTATAGGCTCTCACTCTGGCCAGTACAATGGCAGCAAACTACATGAAAACTACCGTAGAAGCATGAAAATATTGATTATTTCCACTATCGATGGGAGTTGGGAAATGCAAAGTCAGTCTTGGCCTTCCCGCTAACTTGGAGCATGTGCATGTAAACTTTGGTGCAAATCCGTCGAAAATTGCGGCTGTGCATTCGTTACACACACACACACACACACACATCCTGCTTATTGATAGAGATTATTCAAAAATTATAACGTAAACATGTTATAAAATCACTACAAAAATAGCCATTTTGTTTCAACACTTCTGGTGTCTTATCAAGTGATTCTATATTCAACACTATTACTTGATAAGGCACCAAAAGTGTTGAAACAAAATGGTTATTTTTGTAGTGATTTTATAACATTTATGTAATAATTTTTGAATAAATAATTGTATTTGCTCTACTCTGTATTGAGCACTCTTTTAAGAATATTATTTTTTGATTATTGGGATTTATTCCATATACACCAATCCTATACTTGGGTGTATATATATGTATGTGTGTGTGTGTGTGTATATATATATATATATATATATATATATATATATATATATATATATATTAACAGTTGACTTTTTATGAAGCAAGTTTCTTATTTTGGCCTTTTTATTAATTTTTTACTTGGAATTGTTACCAGGGAAACAATAAATCATTGTTCAGGTGGCAAGGATCTAACGACATGTCTATGATGATAACTTTTAAACCCTTATATTCTAACAGCTGGAATAGGTTAAATATGCTGCATCAATTCAGGCCAGTTCATTTCTATTGTAAATGACGGATGCATCCTGTTTCATATTCAATTACACACATCAATTTTTGCCTCACTCCAGTGATCTGTCCTTCATCTCTGCTTCTCAGTTTTCACAAGAAATGCTTGTTTCCTCCAACATCTCTTTTTATCCAATATTTAGAGCATTTCTTCAGTTTATGTCTTGCCAGTCCTCTAAGCACTGGTTCACCATAGAGAAGTTGCATGGTCATATGTTTATCACCCAGGAGAAATATATATCTGAACCATTTCTTTGTTTTTGGTGTAATATTTTCTTTAGAATGCACTTGGTTATCAGGCATATATAACTGTGATCATATGTGTACCGTCCTGGGTAAGATGATAAACTACGTCCAACAGCAAGGCCTCTGATCAGGTTTTGAGGAGCGTGGAACCACCTCTTAATTGCTGACGTTTCCAGGTCCACCCTGACCCGGTGTGGTAGCACCTGTTAGGGTTTCAGCTATGAGCAAATAGTTAACCCCCAAACTCGGATCAAAACATTATGAAAGTGTAAAAATGGGTTTTAATACTTTGTATAAAAAATTATTACCAGCAATGCATTTTTTTTAAAAAAATGGATATTACCAGAAATAGATTTTGGAAAAAAAAAATATTACCAACAATAAAAATTGTTGGCATTAAATAACCCACTGAGGTTGATATGCTGTAAAACAAAACAAACCAAACCATAAGTGTATTATATCGTAAAGGTATTTCTAGTGAAAGTGCTCAAGTGACTTTATGTGACAAGCATATGTCACTCCTGTTTTACTTCCATATTGGGGACTTGATAGCACCCCCACACACACACATGTAGTAATGGACAGTTTGATTCCTCTTTGTGACCACGCATCTTCCGTACAAGATTTCCATAGAAGAGTCTGCAGTTTTCTGAATTCTATTTGGAATTTCAAAATCAAGAGAACAAATCTTTGAAAGTGTATTCCCAAGATAAACCTACAAAGAGATTTGGAGGACAGTATTCTTTATCTGGTGCAGGTTGATATATAACACCCCCAGCTTCTTCACATTGAGGGTCAATCCAAAATGTGTGTGTGCATATATATATATATATATATATATATATATATATATATATATTTCGCATAAGTTCACTTAAAAAGAAACAAGATCTGTCTACACTATTTACATTATTCAGATTGTTGTCCTTATCTTCATTGCCATATTCACAATGTTTTGGCCGTTGTATGCCCTGGCCTTCTTCATGTGATTGGAATTTTTGAACTGAACTCTTTATTTCTTCCACTGAGATAGATTGTTCTACCTCCATGTGCCATACCTCTTCCGGAAATGTCTGTATCAGTTACCTCCTTTTAACTCAACTCTCAAGTTTTTTTTGTTCACTTCTGTTGTAGTCAGGTATTGAACTCACAAGGACACATGACCTAGTGGATAAAAGCATTGGTTGAATCCAGTGACTTCACCCAAAGAGTTATGACTGATACACTTGAAAGAGGCATGGCACATGGAACTAGAACAATCTACCCAAGTGGATAAAATAAAGGGCTCAGTTCAAAATTTCAATCACCTGAAGAAGGCCGGAACATACAACAGCTGAAATGCCATGAATATGGCAATGAAGATGAGAAAAACAATCTGAACACTGTAAATAGTGTAAATAATGACAATACCTCATCTCAGAAATATAGACAGATAATGAAAGATCTGTCTGTTTAATTTTTTATTGTATTTTTCCAATTTTCATTTAAAGTGTTGAGTTTTGTGCTCAAAATTGTGAATAAACTGTTCAAAGTTTATGTTGCGTTATTGTTTAAGTAAGTTGATTGTCTCAGTCATTTTTTGTCTACATTTTGGCATTCTTTAGAAAACTGGAAGTTTGAAATAGTCTATAGTAATGTCATGTGTTACGGTTGTTAGGGACAAAGCTGCACCAAAAAAGCAATTTTTTTTTTTCATTTTTTAAAATGTTGTTATGATTTGTTAGAAAGTTAAATCCATATATTCACACACAGAAAGTCTAAAAATGTGCATGTGTATAATATATATATATATATATATATATATATATATATATATATATATATATATAATCTTAATGTTGGTTTTAGATTGTAGATATACTGGTTTGTTTCTCATGGACTTTACATCTGCAGGTTCTTTTTTCATTGCTCACATTTGTTAGAAAATACTATTGTTAAAACCAAAATAAAATCATATGAAACTAACAAAGGTTATACCTTGCTTCAATATGTGCAGTCTAGATCTTCTGGCCAAAATGTTTTGTTCTTTTTGATAAACAAGCCAATATCTTTATATATAGGGTATGTGAGTAAAAAAAAATCTGCTTGAGAATTTGTTGGAGAGGCACAGATTCAAATTTCTTTGGTCATTCCTTTACACTGATATCTTGTGTTTTTCACCTCTTCTATAGATATCTTTCTGTTTAATCATATCAATTTTTAATCAAGAATAAATACCTCTGGTCAACTGCCTAACACCAACAGCAGTTTTCATAAACCTGTCAATTTAGAATTATTTCTGGTTCATTTCCTTTTGAGAAGTTTTGAAATTTTATCTAAATGTCTTGTTCTCAAAATCATTTTTCTGTATAAAAAAAAATATTTTTGTTTCTCAAAGGATGTCAGAAGCCTTTGTTTAATCATACTGCTTCCTCCACTGTTTTGAACAAAGATCTTTTTCTTACCTGCTGATATTGATAATGATGATCTCATTGTTTAAAAAAAGATGCAATATAAAAAGAGAAAAAAAATGAATTATAGAAATTATACATTTCAGTGCCTGACATGTTTTGCAATGTTTTTGTGTGAAAACTTAAAATAACTTTTTTCATCTTCTAACATAATTTTTTGATTTCATTTTTTTTTTTTTTGCATATTTTGTCATTGCCATAAAAGTGAGAAAATATGTGTTTGTTTATAAATATATAAGAATTTGCCTTGGAAATCAGCATCTCTTTAAAAACAATTATTAGATACTATGTTATCGTAAATTCTTTTTTTTCCCCCAGCAGCCCTTCTTTTTATCATCATAATATAGCCAATCAGATCCTCATATCTCTTTTCTTTTTGATTTTCAGTTCAATCAGAGAATTCAGACAACCAGATGGGAAAGGTAAAACAGTTTCATCTTTTGATGTCATTTTTGTAGAACCTGGTCAACTTTTTTTTCTTTTTTTTTTTCAACAAACCCATAGGAAGGATTTAGTTTGTCAAATATTAAGTGATTCTGTTTTTTGTTTTTTTGTTTGTTTTTTTTTTAACCTGTATTTTGTTTACAACTGTAAAACAATTGCTGCACAGGACACTTGTTCTCAATTTAAAATCACACACTAAAACTCAATGAAAAAAGAAACACAACCTGAGCTTGTCTCTATGAAGCCCAACAGCCTTTATCGAGTTTCTTTTTTTGAGTCAGATAAATTTCTTTGTAATGAGATCTTTCTATAAATATCAGAATGTTTGTTTCAAATAGATATAAAAAGGCACATGTATTCAAAATATTCCATGAACAAAATCTACTTATTATGTAAAAGTACAAGTGTTGACTGATAATTAAGGTCTCCTCCCACATAGTGTCACTAATAGTGAGAATAGGAACAGGTTTCAACATGTATTCAATAGTATGTAAAGTCCTGTTTAAGAGTGTCTATGAGACTTCATTGAGCAATACTATTCTTTTGTCATAAGTGTCACATCCAATCAGTGATCGGAGATTGAAATGCATGAAATTTCAGTGAAAGAAAATATGCTAATTTATCTTGCTAACACTCGGGCAATGCATCTGCAAAGCATGACTTGAAAAGGGAACATTTGTTGTCTTAATATCAAGACAACACTAAGTTACTTTCCAGCCAACTGACAAGATGGTGAAAAGCTGGAAATCAAGAGTTGTTGTACACCTTCCATACAGCCCCAATTATGATTCCAAACTTTCTGATTGGACGAAATGAAGAAAATACATAGAATGTTAAGAAAAGTCTATAACACTAAATGGCGACTATGCTGAAAAATAAACTTGTAATTTTAAAGAGAAATAAATTGACTTCATTTTGATACCAGCTTCATTATTGTATCTGGTCTAAAACTTGTTTTATAGGATTGGAGACCTTACATATCAATCAACACCCATAATTTCAAAAAATTATTGCCTTCACTTTTTATATGACTTTCATAGGATTGAAGACTTAACAGTCAAACTTAGTATTTAGTCAAACCTTTTAAGTTTGAATCCTTTAAAACTGTAAATTTCTTAATTTCAGTGGTGTTAATTTTCTATTTCTCCTTCTACACATATATATAACAATGCACTATATATATATATATATAGACCTAGTGAGCCAGACAAACCTACCCAGATTTCACCTAAGTGGATCGTCAAGGAAATATATATAGGTCTGGTTTACGGTTGTATTGAGCTCTTTTGTTAGTTAGTTGTTTACTCGTATCGGGGTTTTTTCTTTGGGCTTCAAACCTGTATCTGTGCGATTTTTTTCGACAGACTTTCATGTTTCTAGCTCTTTCTTTTTTTAAAACCTTTTTTTCCCTTGAGATTGATTTGATTATTGGCAAATCAAAATTCAAAGGTTTTTCGAAACGAGTATAGTTACCTATATATATATATATATATATATATATATATATATATAATATATAACAATATAAATTTTTTTATGTATCAAGAACAATATTGGGGAAAAATGTATGACAATGGAAAAAATTTTCTTGCTACTCTGATCAAAGGAGAAAATAATTGACTGACAAAAATGTCTAGAGAGTTCCTTGATCGCTAGGTCATCTACAGTAATTTTCACCCTGACTCTTACAACATTTCACCATTTCTGGCAGCACTTTTATCACAGTGTTGGATAACTACTAACAAAAGTGATAGAAAAAGAAAGAGACTCTAAATAATTTGGCTAGATATATAAATTTAAAAAAAAATTAAAAATTCCCAGCATCCCTTGTTCATGAACATGTGTAGTCACACCAACATAAATTTAGTTCAATGAAGTCCTAAAGGGTGAAACATGTCAAAAGAAAACCTTTTCCACTTTGTCATGCATATATATATATATATATATATATATATATATATATATATATATATATATATATAATCATCATCATCATCTTTTAACATGTTGAGCAGAATGACTGGAAATACAGAGTTCTTCAAAATAGCTGAATCAGTTTTGAGATAGTTGGTTCATTTATAGATGGCATTTATGTTCGTATTAAAATTTCTTAAATCAATGATTTCAAATAAATTTATTTTAGCATACCGTAGTTTGTTAAATCTTTTTCAATGACAGAAGTTACTTTTTTAATCCAGTCAACTTTATCAGTCAAACAAGTTTTAATTTTTTTTTTTTTTAATGTTTGTTTCATTTTATTTATGTTTTTGTGCGGCTGTTGTGACTTTTTAAGACTTTTCCTTTTTGCAGAATAACTGAAGATCTTTGACGTCAACTTTAGGTAATGTGACTGATTGCCTGTCACTAAGGCAGCCATCTTGCATGAGCAAAGCTGCTACATTTGTCTGTGTATCAGACTTTTTCTTCTTGACCTCCAATGCCCTTGATTGATCTTTGCTAGCCCTCCAAAAAAATCTCCAACCAGAAATTTGGGAATGCATTTTAACCAGGGTCTGGTGCTTGCATGGTGTCTGAAACTTTCCCAAACTAATCTTTTTTTTTTTTTTTTTTTTTTTTTAAATGGCTTCTGCCTGAGGCAAATGTGACTTTCTCAGTTGAATTAGATTGTATTATACCTTCAAAATAACTTTTTAAAAACTTTTGACAGAATAATTTTTAAATTTTTTAAATTTGCAAAACCATCAATATTTTTTTCTGCAGCCAAATAGAAAAGGTGCTTGTATGAGGGGTGCTGAAAAGTTCTTGGCCCAGCCCACTACTCAAAGTTTGAGTAACATCAGAATTTAATTTTTTTTTTTTTTTTTTTTTTCAGTTTTTAGGAAGTGCTTTCTGGTTGGATTAAGAACCTTTCAGTACCTTCTCATATATTCTGCTAACAATTTTTCAGTTTTTTTTTCTTTTTTGTTTACTCTTTCAACATAGATACATCATTACTTTATTTTTGTTTTGCCAATAATGAACAAATTTAACTCTCTATGACTAACTCTTAAAAACAAAATTTAGAAATGAAAAAAGAAGCCAAACAATATGGCTTTTCTTCTTGCAAACCAAATATTTATAAATTCTTCTTGATCCTTGTAATTATATATTTGCATTATTTGTCTTTTATTTTTCAAATTATATTTGTATGTTTTGTAATAATTAAGTTTTTTTTTGGTTTTTTTTTATATAACTTTGTAGAAACCATTTGTGCTGTCAAAAGTATTTAAAATGTTGATTTCATGACACTGGCTTTTTATAATCCAGCTCGTATTCTGAAGTAGGCAACAATTCCCCTATAACAATAGCACATTCCCGTATTAAATATTTGATCTGAGTCAATTTTTTGCTCTTACTAATACAAGGTCATTTCTTTTATGTATGAAAATAATATGCCTGAACCTTACTAACTGGAATAACAGTCTCACTGCTTTTTAAATTTTTTTTTTAATTAGAGTATAAAATAATCACAGAAGTACAATAATTTTATGACAACTTAAGGAGGCAACATATTGAATTTTATGATCAGCTCAACTTAAAAGCCAGGAAATATTTTATTTAGACATTTTCTAACCAAAATTGGTTGATAAATATAAATTTAAATATTTATAAATATTTTTAAAAATTTACAAAAGAATAGAAAACCAACATCATTATTTAATACTTTGTTTTACGTATTTTAAAAAAAAAATTATGTTATGAAATTACCAACAAAATGTAGATGCCAGGAATTTATCATTTCTATTCTGTCTCAGAATAATGGAAATGTATGCCATTATTAATGAGGTAATTGAAATTTCTGCATGAGTATTTCTTTGAGAATCATCAGGGAAAAAAAAAAAGCAATCAATTCATTTGTGCCTGACAATTTTTGGCATTCATTTTTATTACTATCTCTGTGCCATAATCGTTGCTACATATTTTTCTTTTGATCATTTCACCCAGTTCAAGGCAGTAAAGCCACTAAGACACAAGGGGTTACTGTGGAAGAATAAGAAAAAAGTGAAACATTAGAAGAACAATAGAAGAGTAATCCAGAAGACAGTAGATAACTATTGTCATTGCATTTAAATTTTTGAAGATCAAAGTTGACTGGAAAGCATGGAACTGGAAGAGAGTTCCACAAGTGAGAAGTGCAAGAAAAACTGTTAGCATAGAACTTAGTTACATCTAGATAATTCAAGTGTAAATTGATGAGACCTTTCTGCCACTGTACTGCACTTGAATTCATAATGTCTAGGTACCATATTGAAGAGTTCATCTGAACATTTACCATTAAAATTATTTATGGAAAAGGCACAAGGAGGTAACTTTAATGTGATGGGAAATTGACTGAAGCTAAGATGCCCGATCAGGACCAATAATATTGCTGATTCTTCTTTGGACTTTTTTCAAAAATGTTACTGGTGTGGAAGAATTAGAAAACAAAAACACTATTAAGGAGCGAAAACAAAAGGACTGATCAGGACGACGATAGATAACTATTGACATTACATTAAAAATTTTTTTGAAGATTAAAGTTGACTGTAAAGCATGGAGTCGGAAGAGATTTCCTCAAGTGAGAAGTGCGAGAAAAGCAATTATAATCGAATTTACGGTTACAATGTTCCAATCCAACTGGGAATTGATAAGATCTTGCCACCAATCTGGTACTGCACTTGAATTCATAAAGTCTAGGTACCATAGTGAAGAGTTCATCCAAACAATTACCATGAAAGTATTTATAGAAAAGGCAGAAGGAAACTACATTACAGTGGTAGGAAAATGCCAGGTCAGGACTAATAATATTGCTGATACTTCTTTGGTTTTTATCAAGAAACTCTCAATATATAGCAGGATTTTCCATATATACACTAAATGTAACAACTATTATGGTAGTATTTTTGTACTATTTGTAAATTCTGTTATTAACACCAGAAGTAATTTTAGATAAACTTTTGTATTTGTCTTAAAAGTTTAATTGGCAATCAGAAAAACA